CAGTTAACAGTTTTTAGCAAACACAAAATGTTGGCATTTCCTCATGGCGAGTATACTCGTTAAACACAGCTAACTGGTTAAGAAGGATATACCCTTTGATGTTCTCTATTCAATTATATCTATAATTATTTTATAAAAGTATTGTGTTTAAACAAAATATGAAGAAAACGAACAGTATAATGAAAATAACTTACAAACTTTTCGAGGAGATTGCAACAGTCATTTGGTTAATTCAACAAATACTTTGCTTCAAGTGATTATTGTTATACCTTTATATCACTCTTATCTTTTCGTTATCAGATTTGTCACTACCAAAGCACAACGCGACAAATAAAAAATCGAGTTTAAAGTAAAGTTGCAGTTGATCAACTATAAGGGCTACGAATTATTTTATACGCTTAATCTCTTGGCATACAATACAATGACGTCATTTCTTCCATGTACCATTGTAGACTTTGACGTTTCCGAGACGACAAGAACTGTCTCCAGCTAACAGCGTGCAGTATACAGAGCACAGGGTTTCCCAAAAGTCACTCGCAATCAAGAAACGAGGCATTCCTGAGGTCATTTGAAGCAACTTTTTTCTTAGCAATCCTCAACAGTAAACTTTGTTCATAATCATTTCAATTGTGTTAAGAATTCTTTTCCTTAATTTCATTGTAACTTAGAAAGGATATTTTTCAATTTTCATTTAATATTAACATTACTTTACTAATCTGTACTATTACAGTAAAAAAAAACAGTATCTACATTTATATGTCAAATAATAACAGAGACACTTTAGTCCGGGGGTGTCAAACTCGCGGCCCGAGATGAACATTTTTGATGTCAAGTATCAGGACGTAAACAATAATTTAATTTTATATATGTTTATTACAATGTACTAGTCAAAATAAAAATATTTGTTTCTATGAACATTGATTTTTTTTTGCGGCCGACGTAAAGTTAAGCATTGTTTATTTATTATTATGGCCCAAGTTAGCTTTTGGGTTTGACACCCCTGCTTTAGTCTCATTATGTGACAGCTCCTCACACACAGTTGCGTAAAATTAAATTGTCCGCACACGCAAGTTTCTTTGAAAATAAATCGTAAAGCATGGAGTTAATATTATTATTCCCTCACCTTACTCCCTCGCGTTCGTCCGAATCTCTGTCTCGTTTCTCCAGCGTGTCTGTATCTGGCGATCACGTAACGTCCGCGCTTCTATCTAGCATCTTTGTTTCTGGAATTCTTTATTCTGTGCAGCGGCAACGTGAGTCTGCCAGTTCGAGCAATTATTTCCGAACATTCTAACAAACTTCTCCCGATTTCATAACGTCCACGGCAATTATTGAACACCGACGGGCAAAGTTTCCTGAGCTATTAGGTCGCTGGCTAACAAGAAAAGGTCTCCAATGCAGAAATTCAGAAAATTATGGAGTGGAAAATTATACGATTTTTGTTTGACCTCCAAATTCACTCCGAGAAGTTAGTATTATTCCGTAGAAGTTTGGCTGCCTTCAGATCTCATTTTGTAGCTTTACTAATTGTTCATATTGCAAAGATACGTTCGTTAGTTTACTCGTTTCGAGGTGTATTCTAACAAAAGTCGTGCGAAATCTGAATATTTTTTAAATCTGGTATTCACATAAAATCATATAATTAATTGCTTTTTAAGGTAGTAATTGTTCACAGTAAAACAGTTAGAAGTTACTCGATAAACTGTTTCCTATCGTGATACATTATAATTAAAATCATTGAACATTTGAAAATGAATAGTCATCTTTCGCAGTAGAATATCTTTTTCACTGCAATAAAATAGCTTTTAGTGTTCGATAGTTCCGATATTAATGTAACTTGTTCACGACTTAATGACGACCTATCACGACTATCACCTTAGTCACGACCTATGAAACGCGTGAAATTACTTTCGAAATTACTTTCTCCTGCAAATATTTTGCTTCTGCAGCTCGTTTTCTTCTTTCCGTTGCGTATTCTTAATTTCCCACTCAAGCATTCAATTAATTTGCGATCGTTGTTTATCAAACGAAACAGAAAAGTGCTACGAAAAAAACCGGAATTTCTTCACGTGTTCAATTTTATCTGCTAATAATGATTAAATTTTATATAACGAGAACTTATAACGGTGGTAATATGTTTTTAATGATCCTATTCATCATTCTCATTCATCAGATGACCAGTTCCCTTGATCTAATTTCACCGCGACATTCAAAGTATCGACGCTGGTCCACTTTTCCCCGTCTTGTTTTCCTTGCTTCCGCCATCCTCGCGACCGCTGCAATCTCTGACACTCTCTCTCCACGAATTTAGTACTTTGCCACAACTTTCTTTACGCCACAACTTCTTTACTTGAAGTCATTATCATCGTAGTCTTCTATTTTACAACAATTCTCTTTCTCCTTTTTTCAGAGAGAATTCCATTTATTTTAGGAGAGCAATAGTTTAATGAATCCGTTCAATCGCATTATCTAGGACACCATTTTTAATCCTAATGTCACGAATTAGTTTAACCCTTAGCGCTCCAAAGCGTTTCTCGAGTACTACCTACCAGCAACTCCGTCACATTTCTGGAGCAAAGCGCCTGAGATAAAGGAAGTCTTATTTTGAGCGGAAAAGATTACACGTCCTTGTGAAAGCGTTTGATTTTATTCATTTTATGTTGCTAAGTATAAAAATGGGTAAAAAATGTTTTAATCGTAATGGTATCTATTTAACATTGTGCGAGGTCAGTGCATCGACATCGTGAATTGTGACCGAAATTTCCAAGCAACAAATGCATCCTCATCGAAATGGATAAATTTACTATTAATGATATTCTTCACAATTCTTAAATAAATATATCTCTCATGTTCTTCGACGCGATTTATTATAAAATTAGAATTATTGAAACAAAAATATCTTTTGCGTGAGTTTGCCAGAATTTTTTTATTGTTAATCTTCACTGGAATCGGCTCAATTGATAATTAAATTAAATTAAAAATTAGTACATATTCTTCGGACGTTCTAAAATAAAATTGAACAGCGTTTTTCTGAAAAATATCACTACCAGCAACTCCGGCACATTTTTGGAGCAAAACGCTTGAGATAAAGGAAGTCTTGTTGTTAAGTATAAAAATGGGCAAAAAATGTTTTAATCGTAATGGTACACACGCTAAGCACGTTTCCACTACAAACAACAATTGCAAACGTCGACAAAAACATAGCATCTTCAGTGTAATCATGCTAAAAACATTGGGCTCCGTAGCAGAGCCTTCGGATTTACGGAACAAATAACGGATGTCTCCATAGCGGAGCCAACGGAGCGCTAAGGGTTAAGTAAAACTGCATTATTTTCGTTCGACTTAGAAATTTCGTTGTTTCTCAGATATCGTGACATATATAATTCTCCGTTCTACAACAATTCTATAACAATTCTACAACAATTCTACGATAATTCTACAACAATTTCTACAACAATTTTACAACAATCCCTTTCATTGGAATCTCGTTTGTGTTAGTAGGGTGATTGCCCTTTCAACTTTTTCGTAGCCCGTAGAGCCCAATTAATTTCGGCGTAGTCAAATAGATCGCTAACAACATTATTTCTTAATTGGACAAAGAACCGTGTCACGTATGCGTGATCGAGCACGCAGTCGACGTGTTAATATTAACCGTGTCAACGTAAAATAGGAGCCCGTATAACGTGATCAAAAAATGTGCTATCCCGCATAACGCGGTTAAACGATCGCTTAAAAGGTCTATTGATTTACAAAAGACTATGCAACTGGTCTTTAAACAATTTTGTGATTGCATTATATGCATTAATGCCTTTCAGCAATTTAATTTGAAACCTGATATCTCAAATCAATTAATTTCTTTTCAAAACCATTACTTGTGAACCAATCAAAAATATTATTTCTGCCTTTTTACTTGAGAAGCTTATAAGAACATCCTTCATTTCACAAACATCCTAATTCGTTCTCTTGATTCTGTTATAACATTGATATCAATAATTTGATGTATTCGTTTAAAGTATAATATACGACTAAAATGGAAGTATTGTATGAATCGAAAATGGGTTAAAACTATAGCACAACCTTCTGTGCAATCAATTTTAAGAAGGAATGAGAGTTAAAAGAAATGAAGCAAGGATTGTAATTAATTGAAATTCATATTTTAGCTGCCCTGTTATAATGTAACTGTACGCTAGACAATCTTTTTACCAAGATCAATTAATGTTGAATAATTTGTTCTTTAATATGTAGACATTTTCATCGAAATAACGTTCTAGGAAACTTAATATGTCTGATTAAACAAGTAACGACACTTCAATTGTATTCTATGTATGTATATGTATAATAATCGTTTCTTTGAAAAGACTCATTGGATAACACAGACATACCACTGGACTATTTGAGTGAAGACAATATAATAATTAGACTGCGGATGCACGATAAATATGCAAAAAGCATACGATATATATGCACGAAAAGTATGCAAATATATACGAAAAATATGCAAATATTTCCGATATTCAGTAACTGACTTATTACTTAAACGCTCGTGTTCTTCTAATTAGTTCCAGTAATCAAAATTCCACTGCACTTTCAGTTTAATAAAATCCTTAATATAAAATAAAATGATCCCTCTTGATTTTATGATTCCTGGACGATTACAATTGGATCTGCTGATTTTATGCATTTATGACAAAACTGAACAATTCAAAGAAAAATTTGACGATATTGTTCATTATTCTCAACTTATTACAATTATTAATAGGGAAAAGACATTTTCATTTCACTTACGTTTCATACAATTAACATTGACAATTTCTATTTTGCATAAAGATCCGCAGTATACATATAATTTAAAGATACTTTCGTAAATAATGCGTGTCATCCGGTGAAAAAGTTGAAACCGCGGAAATTAAAACAAAACGTGCTATCGATCAGCTATATGACCAGCTGATGGTTAAATCTCCAGTTCCCTGATTCATTCACACTTCCGATCAAAAATTTACCTTCTGATTCGTTTCTAGTCCCCGTTGATTCGTTCGATGGCATCACATCCTGTCCTCCGAATCTCCCGCCCGTTCAGGACACTGCCGTTTGACACTAGCACGTAATGTTCCTTTGTCCCTGGGGATTCTATCGAATTCATCGCGCACAGTCGGCCCCCATCTCTATTCTTTAGAGGACCCGGGAACCTCTATCCCCCGAAGATTCTTCGAAATCAGCTGCGACCGAGCTGCAAAAACTGATTCCTATTTTCTCCCCAGAATTGTCCCTTTTCAATCCACTTCTTCCAGTCGAAGAGGTAACATTTTAAACGGGGTCACGACTTCGAAGGCGGGAATTTCGAGGGTTCACAGTCTCCGGGCAACAGCTTCTACTTCTATTGTTTCGTTCCGATGTTCACGGTACAGGTGGTGTCCCTCGTTCAACACGCACCGCTACAGCATCGATACGGTGTTTATCGAAATTTGTTCGGTGCCCAGACACTTATTGAAATTCTCACCGATGGCAGAAAGTATTCTATCAGACAACGCAAATGCAACTGTTCGTATATTTGACCCGATAAGAATTTTCATTAGTGATAAAGCCGAATACAGTGATAAAACTTGCTACATCAATTTATTAATTAAAAGTAGAATATGAAGGATTGCGTCATTTCTGAGAGTGTTGGGCACATTTTTTGGTAAGATCTATTTTTTATTTACGTTGTTCGAAGTACTGGAAACAGTATTGGCAATCAAGATAGTGAATTTATTTGTATCACTTTGCATTTATCGTTTTATCAATAGTTTTCTCAATATCGCTGGAATGATATAATATACTGTGCCATTTTTAACTGTTAATATATGTTTAAATAGTCCTTTCGGCAATCGGAGACAAATCTTTTTCACACTGCGAGAAACAATAGGACGATGTGCAAAATGTGCTACATTGATATACATGTATCATTGCATAAAAGTAAATATAAAAATAAAATTCGCGATATATATATATATTTTATTTTTATATTTTATTTTTATATTTTATTTTTATATTCACTTTTATGCAATGATAGACACACTCATTTTAATATTAATACATAATATACGTATATTATATATATATATATAATATTCGTTTATTATGTATTAATATTAAAATGAGTGTGTCTATTATTTGACATGATACATGATGAGATTTTTAAATGATTTTATCATCATTTCATTAATGTGTTCTTGGAATATCGTGGATCGTTTTATCATGTTTGTCTAATATATGCAATGCTACTTTCCATTCTTAAAGTACAATCGATTCTTACAACGATCATGTTAATAATCTTGATCAAATGCTTTATGCCGGCCACAGTAAATCGCTAATTGCACAATCTGCATAATACAGCACGAGTCACGAATAAACTTAGAATACCAGATTTCAGCGTTACGATGCAACGTTATCAGATACATGGAGCTTACAATTGTGTGGTAAACAGGAGTAATAGGAACAGAATGATCTACGATACGTAACCTAATCATTTGAATGACACGTATTCCGGATATCCTACTTGCAACACTGTCTCGTTCAAACATATAATAAAACAGATATTCCGTCACATTTTCAATCATGAAAGCCATGGAAACATCAATAAGAAGTGCTTGATAGAAGAGGCTCTCTCAGAAGCAGTTCGAACGTAATCGATGCAGCAGAAAACAAAACGAGGCGATAGAAGAACTTGCTACGACTCTCTTGAGAAAGAAGAACGCTTTAACGATGCAAATCCAGAAGATGACTCAAGAGTTGCTGATAAAAGAAGAGAACGAGACTCATCTAGACGGAAATGGTACCTGTCTTAATCAATTCAGAGTCGAAGCTTAAAATTCTATGCTGAATGCGTGCAAGAAAAGTTGAACCTGTCCGATAAGATTCGATAACCTGTCATTTGGAAAAGTGTGAAGTTCAAGGTAGAATTCAAAAAATTCCGGATGGTACGAATCCTAAAGGCGTCAAGAAATTACCGATGAAAGAGACGATCGAACTCTTCCACTTAAAGAAGTCCGAGGCTTAACTCAGTGTCAAGTTCACATGACCACAGACCTGCTCGAGTAGAGGTCAACACGCAACGCAAATGAGTCAAGGATCACTGAACCGACTTACGAAATGATAACTTTCAATGTATATCGCAAACATGAAGAAATCATTGCACTGTCGATACTCGACTCTCCATACAGTCATACTTAAAAAAAAGCGCGAAGTTCAAACTAAACAGTGTCACACTCGAAGGCCCTCAGACCTGACTCTGCATAAGCAGTGATCATCGCATAACGTATAAACAAGTGAGTTGAAGGAACACTGAACTGTCGATGTACTAACAAAACGATTACTTTTAATTTACACTGTAAAAATGAAAGAATCATTGCACTGTCGATATCTAACTCACAACGGAGATTTTAAACAACGAGTGGATCTGGAGAAAGAAATACCGCTTGTGAAAGAACTCCTGTATTATAGCAATCACTTGGAACCCGAGCCCCTATATTCCACTGGTCCTTTGTTACGTCTAGTGCAGATTCGCCCAACACGACACTGTTTCGGATGCTGGCAGAGATGTTACAAAGGGGATACAACCTGTGTAAGATGGCACGCGTTTCGCACAGGTTCGACAACTCGGCGGAGTTTATGCCGACAACGCCGTTTCCACTGATAGAACGTTGACTATGGTTCACCTTGGGCCAGGCTTGCCCATCCTCCCGATCCGCGCGACCGGTTAAGCATATCGAAGATACGCGACGAGGACGCACGGCGAATCCGAACGCAGAAACGCGACTGGTCGGTCGCGCGAACGGACGGCAGAGATCAGACAGAAATTCGACTAGGCTCGCAGCACGGACGACAAGAAAACCATACAGAACACGCCTCTTTCCGCTGGCGCCTGACCCCTCTCTGTCGACAGAATTCCCCCCGTACAGGCGCATTGCTGGTATTTTCTTTCTTCCATCCGTTATCCCCCGCGTCGATTAATCGCACGATTAGTGTCCCATCGCGTGTAATGGCTGGCCTGGATCGTTAGTGATGAAACCGAGCTCATAACTGGCCGTAGGTTGATTGCGTCGACACTACCCGATTTTGGGTCAACGGTTACTAAACGTGGAAAGGTACCTAATTGACTTTGAACCCTTAGATTGCACGAAGGCGGTCTTTTGAACTTCGTTGTAGATAGGGGACAGCTGTCACTATCGTGGCATTTGAGAAGTTTTAGTGCTTCGGCGATCTTCGATATGCTTTGTTTGAAGTGGTGAACACTAGATTAAGACGAGAAAAAAGAAAGAAATTGATAAAATACACTGTGGTTGCAGATCATCTGCAAAACAACGTCTCATGTTTCGCAGTCAGAGTTGGATAATAATATTTAATTATAATTATATATTTTTAATTATATATTAGGCCTACCGGAAAGTTCTGTCCGTTTAAGAAATGAAAGGAAATAATAGATTTTTCATAAATTTAGTAATATTTACTGTACAATATAATTTCCGTCGTTACTTATGACCTCTTGCCAGCGTGATGGCAATTTGTGAATAACATTTTTCAAAAATATATGTCTGAGATGAACATGTGCATACCTATCGAAATNGGCTCGCAGCACGGACGACAAGAAAACCATACAGAACACGCCTCTTTCCGCTGGCGCCTGACCCCTCTCTGTCGACAGAATTCCCCCCGTACAGGCGCATTGCTGGTATTTTCTTTCTTCCATCCGTTATCCCCCGCGTCGATTAATCGCACGATTAGTGTCCCATCGCGTGTAATGGCTGGCCTGGATCGTTAGTGATGAAACCGAGCTCATAACTGGCCGTAGGTTGATTGCGTCGACACTACCCGATTTTGGGTCAACGGTTACTAAACGTGGAAAGGTACCTAATTGACTTTGAACCCTTAGATTGCACGAAGGCGGTCTTTTGAACTTCGTTGTAGATAGGGGACAGCTGTCACTATCGTGGCATTTGAGAAGTTTTAGTGCTTCGGCGATCTTCGATATGCTTTGTTTGAAGTGGTGAACACTAGATTAAGACGAGAAAAAAGAAAGAAATTGATAAAATACACTGTGGTTGCAGATCATCTGCAAAACAACGTCTCATGTTTCGCAGTCAGAGTTGGATAATAATATTTAATTATAATTATATATTTTTAATTATATATTAGGCCTACCGGAAAGTTCTGTCCGTTTAAGAAATGAAAGGAAATAATAGATTTTTCATAAATTTAGTAATATTTACTGTACAATATAATTTCCGTCGTTACTTATGACCTCTTGCCAGCGTGATGGCAATTTGTGAATAACATTTTTCAAAAATATATGTCTGAGATGAACATGTGCATACCTATCGAAATTTGCAATGACATTATCGGACAGAACTTTCCGGTAGACCTAATATTATGCATTATTAATATATACTATTATTATATTGATTATTATAATAGTTATTTTATATTAATAATTATTATAATTATATTATATTCATAATTATTATTATTATATTAATATTATATTATTAATTATATATTATAATTATATAAATTATAATTTTTTAGTTGCTATAACTTGCCCATTTATTATAAATTGGTTATAATAACTAACGAGTTATAATCGTTAATCATTAATCAGATTACTTATTGCCTAACTCTAATTACAGTCCATCGGAAGAAATACGATCGAACTTCAACTTCTCCGAGAAGTCAGTCAATTTTTTTCCAATCCTGACTTGTTCAATGTTTACGAGCCTTAACGGTGCAATCTCATTTTTCGATTTTCGATACTCAGTGTTGGTTTCTTACACGGTCTTCATGCACTTGACTTAAAATGTGGCAAATGTCCTCTGACTGTTCCAGCATGGATCTCTATATCATCGTTTAAATTGATCTCAGCTATCATAGTAGTCTGCGACCTTCTAGTCGATCGGAATAAAGGCCAGTCTTGGAAAACAATTGTACCGCGCTCGCTTTCAATCAGTTTCTGATCTGTTAATAATAGTTGTTAGTTCATCAAATGCCTTCTTTCGGTTACGTAGTCGTACAACCTGTTCCCTTTCGTTGACTAGTTGGATTCGTGACCTACCTGTTCTTTTATACTCGACAAATGAATTCAAATCAACCAAAGTTACGCTACACACAGACTTTGATATTTGCATATTAAAATAACAAACAATTTCGGAATGTTTCGCGCTGGACTATAGTGTAGCTAAACTAATGTCCGTCGTTCATAGAAGTTTGGTAACCAGAAACATAAACCGTAATACTGCACTGAGGCCCTACTACACACAAACAGAAGGAACATATATACATGTATGTGTTTCAAGCACTTGCAAGAGCTCCGGATATTTCGTTTTAACCCCTAGCCCTATGATTTACATTTCAATAACATGTACCACAAACAACAACGCGTCGAGCCTTTTTCATGGTTGCGCGAGACGTCTTAAGTTATGTTAATCGCAAGCGTCTCACGGAATGTAAATACAGTAAATTCTCCCCAATTGTGCCAGCTTGTAAACAAAAATGGGCAACTTGGGAAGAGGGGATACGATTATTCGTGCCTCGCGCCGCATTTTTATAATTATTGATAATCGACAACTATAAAAACGAGCCGCAAAGCTTGAATAATTTTTTATAATATAATTATATATAATATAATATAATATATGTATAATATATATAATATAATATAATAATATTATAATAATATAATTATATATATAATAATATAATTATATATATAATAATAATATATAAATATAATTTAATAATAATGAATAATTATTCAAGCTTTGCGGCTCGTTTTATAGTTGTCGATTGTCAATAATTATAAAAATGCGGCGCGAGGCACGAATAATCGTATCCCCTCTTCCCAAGTTGTCCAATCTTGTTTATGAGTTGAGTGACAATTGGGGAGAATTTACTATACATGTCTAAGGTACAATTGGTTCAATTTTGTAAGGTGTTCGATAAATAATTTCGAACGAATTATTAGTAAACAGGAAAAGTTTATTATAAGTTTTAATAGTTTTATAATTTTATAAATAATAATAAATTTTAATTTGGATTTATTATAATTTGCAGTGAATTAATCATTTTCAATCGTGTGGTATCTTACGATGCATTTTGGTGTATGTAATGGGAGTTTACATTTTTTACACTCCCACGTTGTTTCGCTACGTTTTTTATCTTGTATAACATCCACAGAATTTGATGGCTTTGATTTCAATAGTGTTGGGTTCCATAGTTTAAGATGGTCTAGTTACAGTAATTTTTCGCGGAAATGCCAAATTTTATATTACTGTGAATTTCCTTGTGCTAGTCCCATGCCTGCGTAATTTTTTCATCGCGACACGCGACGCGAATTCTCAGAAGACACAAAATGGGCGTGAGTCAGGTAAGAAAAATCGCGGAGTCGAATCGGGTCATGTGACTTCCGAATTGCCTTCGAATCGTGGAGAAAAAAATTAGAAATAAAAAAGTTAAATCATCGTTTTTATTCTAGCATTGCTATGTGTTCATATTAATGTACACCACCGCTGCCTTTTTTTTGCCGACTGCCCCGAGTTTCTATAAAAACGAGCCGCAAGGCTCGAAAAATCGCGAGTTAGCATTCTCGCATTTTCCGGTTTCAATTCCGACTTCCGAACATATTTCTGGGAGAAATTGCTGTATATTTTAACTGAAGGCCTACCGACCGCTAAAATTCACAGGCATATTGGCTATAAAAGTCGATCCTCAGATCCATAGACCACGGTGAGGATTAGCACCGCATCACGCTGGTACCTGCAGCACCTCTTTTAGCTACTAATAAAACAATTAACAACATACAATCCAGTGTTATCGTTCAAAATACTATAAACGTTTATACATTTGCACGCTTATAGTCCTACAAAACAAGCGAGAGTACTGACATAAAAGAAAAACCCCAATACACGTATTCCCTATTCTAATACCAGCCTAACTAGCCCAACTGTTTATATTTGGTCCGACTGACGCACCACGGCTCCCATTTCTGGCCCGATTTTCTGGCAAAGGATTAACCCTTTAATATCGCAATAACCAGTTCGGGTGTGGACAATTGTGTAAGGGTCCAATCTAGAGCCCTTCGGTCTCCAAAATGCCGATTTTTACGTTATCGTGGAATAATTTGTAATATTCGGCAGCACATTCAGCGGCGACAATCGTGTAACGTCACAAGATTATATTAGAAATTACTATTATAAATTACTCACTTGATCTAATAGTCGAAGAAAAGACTTGTAATGATTTGTTTGTTTACTTTTCTGAATAAATTATTTATGTAGGATTCCACAGTTTAAAACAGAAGCATAATTTTGAAAAACTACTGCACTGAATTATAAATATAAATATACGACGACGACACCTGAAATAGTAAAATTTAGTACGAGGATGATAAAGCACATCCAACACTGTTGGAGTGTCTTTGAAATGTAGAAAGACCATATAACTGCCTTCCGCGGATTTTTCTCAACCTGTTGATCGTAAATTCCTTTCTACATATCGTGGTAATGAGGCAATAAAACTTTGTTTTCTTAAAGTTTTATCGAGAGTATAGGAATACCATTTGCGAGACTTTCTGATGTCTCATAAAATGTTTAATTCAACTTCGAAGTGAATACTAATGCATCGTGCAAGAAAACCATAACTAAAATGAAATAGCATTGCCTATTATATTTGCTCATGATACAGGATGTTAAAGGAAAACGATTCGATATTTATATGACACTTAAGACATATTATACTAAGTAAAAATTCAATAGTCGCATTGGATCGAAAAGTCAACATTCTATAAATATTTTCGTGTATCAGCATCATGATTGAGTGGCTTCTATGTATCATCGCA